CTAGAACCCAGACAGTGGATCTGCTCTCTCCCTCTCCCAATCATGAAGCCCTAGAACCCAGACAGTGGATCTGCTCTCTCCCTCTCCCAATCATGAAGCCCTAGAACCCAGACAGTAGATCTGCTCTCTCCCTCTCCCAATCATGAAACCCTAGAACCCAGATAGTAGATCTGCTCTCTATCTCTCCCAATCATGAAACCCTAGAACCCAGACAGTGGATCTGCTCTCTCCCTCTCCCAATCATGAAGCCCTGGAACCCAGACAGTAGATCTGCTCTTTCCCTCTCCCAATCATGAAACCCTAGAACCCAGATAGTAGATCTGCTCTCTCCCTCTCCCAATCATGAAACCCTAGAACCCAGATAGTAGATCTGCTCTCTATCTCTCCCAATCATGAAACCCTAGAACCCAGACAGTGGATCTGCTCTCTCCCTCTCCCAATCATGAAGCCCTGGAACCCAGACAGTAGATCTGCTCTTTCCCTCTCCCAATCATGAAACCCTAGAACCCAGACAGGGATCGGGAGATCTTGAGCCGACAGCCTATACTGTAGAAGGGGCACAGGATGACGATGATGGCTGTATGCACTTGTCAATTAAGATGATCCACTGATTTGTGTGCAGTTATAATTGATGACGTACATAGGGGGTGACTGTAACATTTTGTGTTATATTCTGCAGTTATAATTGCAGAGGAATACTGTATTAAAGAGATTGTTGGCAGCGCAGTGTACATGTTATGTATATTACATATTGTCAAATCTGTGTGGTGTTGACCTGATTTCTATATGATATCAACCTCCTATATGTTGTTGACCTGATATCTGTATGGTGTTAACTTCTATATGTTGTTGACCTGATATATGGATGATATTACCCTTCTCTATGTTGTTGACTTGATATCTCTTTAATGTTAACCTTCTTTATGTTGTTAACCTGATTTTTTTGTATGATGTTAACCTAATATCTGTATGCTGTTGACCTTCTGTTTGTTGTTGACCTAATATCTAAATGATATTGACCTTCTTATGACGTTGACCTGATATCTATATGATGTTCACACTCTTATGATGTTGACCTGATACATGTATTGTATTGACCATGTCTCTAAATGTTGTTAAGACGAGGGTGGGTCTGAGGATAAGCGCTCAGTCTCCATGAAATACCCTCAAGGCTGGCGTATTTTAGAGCCTCTGACAGCAAAGGTCCAACTCCTGGCCTTCTCGCGGCGGAGATGTTTAAAACAGACAGGAAAAGGGGCGAAGGCGGCCGATTTAACAAGACAGTTCGGGCAGATGAGGCTTGCCAGCACGGAAGTGCAGCTTATCTAGGAGAAGTAAAACTGCCTTGTTGCCCTAGCATACCCTGGGAAAGCTTTCGGCAGTAAATCGTGAGGGAAAATCCAGAGCTGGAATTCCTAAGACTGTTCAGCATTCTTTACAATGCTATTCCGGCAGTTCCTGCAACGTCCTCAGTACCCAGCTGTATTTGCTTTTGCTTTTTCCTTGGTATGACCGGCGACGTAGAGATGGGATACCTGCTGCCAGGGCAACAGACTACACCAAATCAAAATGCCTAGGCCTGTGCCCTGGAGAGGTCACTCCAGCTATTTTTAATTTCTTCAACCAACACGGGAAGCGGAAGTCGCCGGTTATATGTGTACATCCGTTTTACAGATCTGGCCTATTTTTAGGCAGACGGTTATTTCCTCGCCTTTCAGGCGCACTCCGAGAAGAAAATACACAGGATTATTTTCTTCTTCTTCTTCTTTTTCTTCTTCTTCTTCTTCTTCTTCTTCTTCTTCTTCTGCTTCTGCTTCTTCTTCTTCTTCTTCTTCTTCTTCTTCTTCTTCTTCTTCTTCTTCTTCTTCTTCTTCTTCTTCTTCTTCTTCTTCTTCTTCTTCTTCTTCTTCTTCTTCTTCTTCTTCTTCTTCTTCTGCTGCTGCTGCTTCTTTTCTTCTTTTTGTTTCTTTCCTTCTTTTTTTCTTATTCTTTTTGTTCATCTTCTTTTCTTCTTGTTCTTGTTCTTGTTCTTGTTCTTCTTCTTCTTGTTCTTGTTCTTCTTCTTCTTCTTCTTCTTCTTTTTTTTTTGTCTTCTATCCAACAATGGAGTATAGGCCCTAACCAAGTCGTTCCATCCTTCGCTGTTGCATTCGGCTCACCCTATGGTCTCAACACTTTATTTTTTATTTTTACTTACTAGCTACCTTCTCCATCATGTTGCCTCTGTGTCCTATTGAGGCCAGCTACTTTTCTTTACATCTTGGTCCACTGGTACTTGTTTAGTCGCAAAGCTAAACATGAGTGATTCTAACATACCATTTAATTCTTTCTATTCTGCGCAGGCACCAGTTTTTTTTTTTTAAATTAGTAATTGTTTTAGTTTCTGCTCCATACAGTGGTACCCATTTGACCTTAGAATTAAAAATCTTGAGTTTAGTCTAGTATTAGTTTTAATTGTTTTGGACGTCTACACATTTTAGGGCTATAAAAGCTCCTCTTGCCTTTTGGAACCTTATGTTAATATTGTTATCAATTCCACCATCTTTATCTGCATTACCACATAAAAGATGTATGCCTCTACGTCTTGGATTAGGAAATCATTAAGAGAAACATTACTATTTGTCTGATTTTTTTTTTTCTCTCATTATCTTTGTCTTCACCTTAAGGATTTGCAGACCTAGCTATTGTAATCTCGCATCAAGTACATTTATCTTGCATCTGATTCAGTGAGTGGGACAGAAGAGAAATATCATCAGTGAAGCCCAGGTCATCAAGTTGTTTTGTAGGGGTCTACTGAATTCCATTTCTTGTGTTAGCGGCTGTGTCCTCATAATCCGTCTGATGCCAGTAGAAATAAGAGATGTGACAAAAGACATCCCTGTCGCACACCTGTTCTTATTTCAAACGTATATCTTAGCTTTCCACCATAACGAACTCGATATTTATGTCTATATTTGCTGACTTTTACTAAATTATAAATTCTCTGTGGGGTCCCATATTGCCCCCATGAACTTTCAGAGAAATTCCCTGTAAATGCTGTCAAAGGCTTTTTACACATATTTAGTGGACAAGTATTACTTGCTTGGATTGGGGAGGGGGTGGGGGGAGGGGGTGGGGGTTGCGCAGTGAGTCTGTTCCCAAACGGGACCTTAAAACCAAGATGCGTAGTTTATTGAACTGATTAGAGATATTTGGTTTTCTTTCCTAGAGTTGGAAATCACTGAGCTGTACTCTCAAAGCCACACATGGCGAAGGTTCTGATTCTTCCAGCACAAATTCATCAGGCGCATTTTGTCAGCCCCATTAAATTATGATCCATGTGCTAAGAGCCTTTTGTTAGCTTTAGCGCTCTGAAGCCAGCGAGTTAAAATATGCAAAGCTAATTACTGCTAAGGGCGATAAACAGTTTTCTTGTAATAATTAATCGCGGTTTTCTACCTTTCCCCTCAAATTTGCACAGCTCATCAGAGATGGCTGTTGTTCAACTCACAGATCAATGAGCAGCAATTATTAACAACAAAATAAGCATATTTCCCGCGACTAAATTCTGTTACGAGGACGCGTGCCGCTGCAGACACCTTCCGTACTGGCACGCGTGCCGACATTGTATCGAGACATGGCCAGACCCTGACAGTGTCAATCCTTGGCGACAGCGAATTCTGTGTGGGCTACTTGAAGATGCGAGCACCCCCTGAGGTAGAAGGCGGAGCAGACTCAAGAGGATTAGGAAAGGAAGCTGTTAACAGGCCATCAGTTCTTCTCAATAGCTGGGCAAATGCTCACTCAGTCTGTCTTAACACAGCTTTGTATTAGCAAACCGTTTCTCCTGTGGTGCCTCGAGCGGGTATTTCGCTGCAGATAATTACAATACCCAGATGTCCGCGACATTCACAGAGGCTCGATTGTTCTCAAGTCTAGATGTCAAGTGCAGCTATGCCCCCTTCTCATGTTGTATTCTCCTAGAACGGAATTCATTTCCAAGAGGAATGAGTTAGTTAAATTCTTGCAGCGAATCAGAGGCAAGCGAAATGACCAAATTCTTATTGTACAAACATCTCTATTATGATGATTAGGCGCCTGGTTTGCGCAACGGGATTGGCGTTCTGTATTTAACGAACTCTGCGTGGACTAAATATCCTCAGATAGGCATTGCAGTCCACAAGTCCAAACATGGCCTTTTTTTTTATTAACGAAACTGAGACGGTTTAGTCTTGAAGTTTAGAGTATTTTGATCAATTCCTGTTACAGCTGTTCGATGCAAAAATATATACATAATTTGCTTCTCACCAAACTCTATATCGATGTATTCGTATTTTGCTTCGAATTTCTGATTAAAGCTTAACTGTAATTTTAAAAATTACAACTGATTTTACAAAACCACAACGACAGCATAAAGTCAACTCCATGTGTATTTGAACAATTTCAAAATTTAGATCACCTTTATTCTTAAGCAGTGTTATACATGATAAGTACTTACATTTCTAAAATAAAACTGCTTGAAAAGCAATGAGGTGTACCCCTAAATTGTTTCAATGGTTAGATTAGGCTGTTTATTTGACGAAGAAAAAATTATAATGTACGCGTATGAATTATTTCAGTAATTGTAAAACAACTGGGAAACGTAAAAATGCACATGTCTGGATAATTGTTATAGTTTAAACAATATGTCTAGAAAAATAATATCGTGTATGTTTAAATGACATCTGGTGCAAATTTTAAATAATTTCAACACTTAGAAAACAATCCATGTCATTTAATACTACGTTTAAAAAATTAAATTTCAATTCCAAAAAAAAAATTGTTTCAATAAGTAATCTTCTCCACAAGTATGAAATGTCCATAAATTAGACGAGATCACAGCAAAGTTGATATTGAAATATGAACAACGGAAATAATAAACTTCAAGTGCTGTCGACAGTTCATAGAACTTTTGTTTAGTTGTCTGTGTGGCTCTTAGAGAATCATATTAGAATCTATCGGTGAGGTGTTCAAGGACTGCAATGACTTGTTACTCTGAGAGTTTCTCTAGTCTCCTGGAGTTTGATCATCCAGGAATAGGGGATGGAAGTGAGTATGGGGTCGGCGAGGTTCCTTGCCACGAGTAAGTAGTCATTGAGATAATATGTCTGTCTGTCTGACTGTCTGTCTGTCTGTCTGTCTGTCTGTCTGTCTGCCTGCCTGCCTGCCTGCCTGCCTGCCCGCCCACCGGCCTGCCTGTCTGTCTGTCTGTCTGTCTGTCTGTCTGTTGCTTAAAGGTAAAGTCGGGAGATGTGAACCAGCGTCATTGCACACGGTTTTAAACCATAAGTGCTCTGCCACCAGTACGGACAGCTGATACGAATTGTCTGCTTGTTTCCCCGTCCGCACGTAACTCTGTAGCTACAGCGACATTCCTCCATTTACCCTAGAGTGTCAACTCTGGTACCCATTTCCTAGAGGCTGGGTGAACCCCGGAAGCCGCCCGGTTTCGAACACCGATCGTGGCTGCAGCGAGTCGCAGCTGGATTTGAAAGCAAGCCTCTTATCGACTGCGCTAACGCGGCCCCCGGTCTGGTGCTTGCTCGCCCACCTGTCTGTTTGTTGCTTGCCTGAACGTCTGTCTGTCAAAAACGGATACCAGGTAAAGTACTTTAAAGTCAAGACAACCGGCAGAATGTTGATCACATCGGCCAACTAGTACCGACTGGTTTATAAAAAATATTGAGTCTAGTCTTATGTGCCCTATATATCATTGCTGTGAAACAGACTGTTGACTTTACTTACAGCGGAGCGTCCTACTTAAGTCGCCAACCACGCTCCGAAAAAAATGTCAACTCGATCAAACCCTCAAGGTTGATACTTTAGTAGCTGGGTACAAGGAAATTGTCTGGGAAGCAAAGGAGGTGGCCGTGATATTGAACCTATCACTCACTGATTTTTGATAGACACCAGCACCATAAACTAATGGGCCTTAATGTGATATCTCTAGTCCTTTACTTGAGTCTTGAAATGACACCTTTATGTAGCTATGATGAGCCACCGTAGTGTAGAGGCTGGACGCTCGCCTGCGAATCGGAATGTTATCGGTTCGGGTCTTGACGGAGCTGGCCTTTTCCTTCTTCTTCTTTTTTATTTTTTTGAATGAGCTTAGCTCCCAGACAGACCCTGGCTTGAGTGGGTACCAGGTATAGTCATGGCAAGTAAAGGTGACCGGTGTAATGTTTACCACATCACTCACTAAGAGCTGATTGGTTTATAAAATACAGGTCCTGCCCTACATTCCCAGCACACATCAAGGCGTGGTAAAGGATGTTTTACTTTACTTTTTTTTTGCGTTCACCGGCTGTAAACTCCGGCGAAAAGTTCTGGTTGTTTTCCATTTCTGGACTCTAGTCCTGTCCCAGAAACTGAGTGTTGCGTGCACATCCTTCCTCTCAGACCTGAAAGGGTCCCACTTGGTCGACTCTTACGACAAGCGTTTGGGCAGACGGTGGGTCTATTCTTGTTTTCCCCACAGTGGGACCCAGGAACCCACACTTATGATGGCTTAGATATAGGATTCGTTACCGTTATATTTGTATTACCTTCAACTGTATCGACCCAATGCGGGTGTTACTTTCGTCTGTTCTGTCCTAAGTAATTATTGCCTTTTAAAGTAAAGAATGTGTGGGTTAAATTTCACCAACAAGAAGATGTCAGGTGCAGTGAGAAAGAGAGTATTAAAGTGTTACCTAGAACCTGTGTTGTTATGTGCATGCAAAACATGGACAGTCAGCATTTACTTGCAGCAGAGATGGCGTTTCTGAGAAAAATGCCAAAATATCGCCAAAGGATAGAAAAAAGAAACGAAGCCGACATCCTCGAAACATGAAAGTCGTAAAATTTTTAGAACAGTTAGCCAGATTGATAGGTCGAGACAAAAACTAATCCGTATTTATAGGGATTGTGTGAGATAGCGAAACACGACAACCTTCACTTACAGGCACGGCACATGATGACGATGATGAGACAGAGTTTCAAGTAACAACTGAATGAGACACAACGGCTAATGTAACAACTAAATGAGTCACAACGGGTAATGTAACAACTGAATGAGACACAACGGCTAATGTAACAACTAAATGAGGCACAACGGCTAATGTAACAACTGAATGAGACACAACGGGTTAGTGTAACAACTGAATGAGACACAACGGCTAATGTAACAACTAAATGAGTCACAACGGGTAATGTAACAACTGAATGAGACACAACGGCTAATGTAACAACTAAATGAGGCACAACGGCTAATGTAACAACTGAATGACACACAACGGGTTAGTGTAACAACTAAATGAGGCACAACAGGTTAGTGTAACAACTGAATGAGACACAACAAGTTAGTGCAACAACTGAATAAGACACAACGGGTTAGTGCAACAACTGAATGAGGCACAACGGGTTAGTGCAGCAACTGAATGAGACACAACGGGTTAGTGCAACAACTGAATAAGACACAACGGGTTAGTGCAACAACTGAATGAGGCACAACGGGTTAGTGCAACAACTGAATGAGACACAACATGTTAGTGTAACAACTGAATGAGGCACAACATGTTAGTGTAACAACTGAATGAGACACAACATGTTAGTGTAACAAATGAATGAGGCACAACAGGTTAGTGTAACAAATGAATGAGGCACAACGAGTTAGTGTACAACTGAATGAGACACAACATGTTAGTGTAACAAATGAATGAGGCACAACAGGTTAGTGTAACAAATGAATGAGGCACACCGAGTTAGTGTAACAAATGAATAAGGCACACCGAGTTTGTGTAATAACTGAATAAGGCACAGCGGTTTAGTGAAACAACTGAATAAGGCACAACGAGTTAGTGTAACAACTGAATAAGGCACAACGAGTTAGTGTAACAACTGAATGAGGCACAACGAGTTCGGAAAAGTAGATCAAATCAACAATAATTAACAATCGCATGTTGAGGTCTTGAGTACTGAAAGAGTTAATACATGAAGTCGGAGTTTGACAATAGGCTGTTAGTAGAGAAGATACTATTGTGCTTGCTACAGCATTGGACCCGGTTAACTCTTCCACTGTAGCAGAGCTATTCTGGCGTTTATTTTATCTGGATCTTGTTTTAATTCATTCCCTCTTGTGAGTTCCGGGGTGACATGGGGTGGGGGAATAAGAATAGATCAACTGCCCAGTAACAAGCATGTCGTAAGCTTCGACTAATTAGGGGTTTCGTTCAGAGTCGGAATAAATCTGCCGGTGAGGCGAAGTACCAACAGTCTGCATACACATAATCAAGATCTGTAAAAAGGATGTTCATGTAAAACTCAGGTTCCAAAACAATTCCAAAGTCTAGAAATGGATGAACAAACAGAATTTTCAGCCGAAGTTTACAGCCAATGGACAATAGCAGGAGAAGTTTTCACTTCTTTGATTGTAAATTTATTTGATCTGTTCTACCACCTCACCATCAGAGTTTTCAGGTATCTCCCCAATGCCTGTAAGCTTTTTTTCTGTGTTCCCTATGTATTATTTACCATTAACCTCGGACTTTTGTATTAAAAATTCTGACTCTCTTAAACTAGCAGTTCTGCTGTCTTGTGAGTGTCTCATTCCCCTAAAAAAAAAAGTTATTTGTTTATTTGGTCACATTCTTTGTGTTGTTGTTTCCACGGTAGAATTTGGGATATTCCTTTATTACAAAATAAAAGAGTAGTCCAGTTAGCATTTCTGCTAGCCGCTCACCTACTGTCCCGAAGGTTTTGAGCTCGAATCCACATCCAGACGTATTATATTTTCTTTTTCTTTTTTGAAATCACATTGGCAACCAGGTCGATCCAGCCTAAAATGGGAATCAGGAAATATTCTGGGAAGTAAAGGTGTCCACCATAATATTGACCACACCTCCTATTGAGTGCAGAACTGGTTTATAAAACTGTGAGTCCAGCATCATGTGCTACGCTCATTGACTTTACTTTTTAAGACAACATATAACACACAAAAGCTAAGTTATTTTCCCCTCCACACAATAAACGTTGCAGTAGTGGGTGTATTGTTAGCCATTTTGATTTTTAAGACAGCACAAACAAACATACATACAACACACACACGCACACAAAACACACTACACCACACACACACACACACACACATATACTACACCACACACACATACAAACCCAAATACATACACACACACAAATAATAATGAGGTGGGCTTGCCATTCTTTTTCCCGCATCAACCCTAACCCTAACCCTAACACCGAGACAATTTCTAAAACATTTCTTAAAGTTGTGCATTACTAATTTGCAAGCCCTAATCGACCACAGATGAGTAAAAGTTTGACTAAAGTCGCTCTGTCTTCTTCGAGACTCGAACTCGGACCATTCATTTGGCAGGCATACTCTTTGATCGCGACCGCAACAATAAACTTTCGTTAATTAAAGGAAGTTAGAAAGATATATAAGTTTGATGACATTATTGAGTAATGCAGAATATCAACATTTTGCAGAAGAAACGACAATTATCCCTCATGTGCATACGCAACAAGTCAACATCACTACCAACAACACAACAGCAACGACTACATCATGCCACAACAGCCGCCGCTACAGCATGATTACCTCACCACCGACAGAATGATGCCGGTGTCCGCAGACGACAACGGATATGAATATTACGGCCATGCCAATTCTCTAGGCCTGGAGGACAGCACTGGTAGGACTCACCTGTGTGTATGATACTGCAGCTGTTGTTATTGTGGTTCGATTATTATTGGTGTTATCATGCTGTTGATAGTATTGTCATGTTGTTGATATGTTACTTTTGTTGTTACGGGGTTGTTATTGTTGTCGTCTTTTTGTTATTGTTGTCATTTGTTGTTATTGTTCACATGGAGCTAGTATTATTGTAATGTGTTAGTATTGTTGAAACGTTTTTGTTATTGCTGTCGCGGCGTTGTTATTGTTATCATGTAGTTGTTATTGTTGCCATGTAGTTGTTATACTTGTCCTGTAGTTGTTATTGTTGACATGTGGTTGTCATTGTTGTCCTGTAGTAATCGCTGTTGTGCATTTTCGTTGCTATTATGTTGTTGTTTTTGTTGACATGTTGTTGGTATTATGGTCAAATTGTTGGTACTGTTGACATGTTGTTGCTATTGTCGTGTTGTTGTTATTGCTGTCTTGTTGCTATCATTTTGTTGTTACCGTTTAAATGTTGTTGGTATTATTGTAAGGTTTTTGGGATTTTTTACATGTGGTTGTTATTTTTATCGTGTTGGTGTTAATGTTGTTGTGTTTTTTTATTATTGATGTTGTACATTTGAAATTGTTGTCAAATTGTTGTTATTGCTATCATATTATTGTTATTGTTGTCTTGTTCATGGTATTGTTGTCATGTTTTTGTTATTGTTGTCAGGGTTTCTGACACAAAGAAATCAAATGGGTGCGGTGGGAGAGGACTATTCAGTCTGTTCAAATATTTAGGGGGGTTGGGGCAAAGCCTCGTTTAAAGGAGTAATAGCAATAATGCTTGTAATAATGTTCTGCTGAATGATAATATAAAAATTTAAAAAAATCAGATATGGAAATTAAAATAGGGGGAAAAAAAACTAAATAAGGAGAATGTGTTTAGAGATTTATGGCTCGGCGGCCATTATTGTGGTTGTTACATAACTTCTTCACATGAAACTAGGCTGCTCCTGTAAAACTGGATTGATGGACAGCAGAGTCAGATTCCATTATGGTATTGAGACAACATACCTGTCCAGATAAGACTTACGATATTTGCAAGTCGTGAATCCTTGAAACACTTGAATCTGGGCCTACCTGAGGACCAGTTCAGTCTGGGCAGACCTAGGAACCACTTTAGTTTGGGTGGACCTGGAAACCACGTGAGTCTGGGCGGGCCTGGAACCCACACGAGTCTGGGCGGACCTGGGAACCACGTGAGTCTGGGTTAACCTAGGAACCACTTAAGTCTGGGTGACCTGGGAACCACTTGAGTCTGGGTGACCTGGGAACCACTTAAGTCTGGGCGGACCTAGGAACCACGTGAGTCTGGGTGACCTGGGAACCACTTGAGTCTGTGTGACCTGGGAACCACTTGAGTCTGAGTGACCTGGGAAACACTGGAGTCTGGGCGGACCTGGTAACCTCTTTAGTCTGGGCGGACCTGAAACCACTGAAGTGTGGCAGACTAGTGAAACACTTGAGTCTGGGCGGACCTGAGAAGCACTTTAGTCTGGCGGACCTGGGAATCACTTCAGTCTGGGTTGACCTCGGAACGACTTGAATCTGGCGGACCTGGCAATTACTTCAGTCTAGGTGGACCTCGGAACGACTTGAGTCTGGCGGACATGGGAATCACTTTAGTCTGGGTGTACCTCGGAACGACTCGAGTCTGGCGGACCTGGGAACCAAGGACAATTCCGACAAAAATATGATTCGATGCGGATCCGAACTTAAGACCGTCGGGACCACATGCGTGATCTAGCTGACCATGGCTCACAGCTAGCGCTAAAAACTGACTACCTGTCACGCTGTCATGACATGGCCTCCTTCTTATCTCCCTCACTTGCGGAGAATCAATTCTCTTGCGGACAGTCAGTTCTCTTGCGGGCAGTCAGTTTTCTTGCGGACAGTCAGTTCTCTTGCGGACAGTCAGTTCTCTTGTGGACGGTCAGTTCTTTTGTGGACAGTCAGTTCTTTTGTGGACAGTCAGTTCTTTTGTGGACAGTCAGTTCTCTTGTGGACGGTCAGTTCTTTTGTGGACAGTCAGTTCTTTTGTGGACGGTCAGTTCTTTTGTGGACAGTCAGTTCTTTTGTGGACAGTCAGTTCTCTTGTGGACGGTCAGTTCTTTTGTGGACAGTCAGTTCTCTTGTGGACGGTCAGTTCTCTTGTGGACGGTCAGTTCTTTTGTGGACAGTCAGTTCTTTTGTGGACAGTCAGTTCTCTTGCAGACAGTCAGTTCTTTTGTGGACAGTCAGTTCTCTTGTGGACGGTCAGTTCTTTTGTGGACGGTCAGTTCTTTTGTGGACAGTCAGTTCTTTTGTGGACAGTCAGTTCTCTTGCAGACAGTCAGTTCTTTTGCTGAGTAACTTTCGTTCAAGACATTTTTATCACTATTTTGTATCTGTCCAACGTATTCTCATACTTCCTTCGTATGACTACATGTCCACGCTTCCACGTGAGTTCCCCTAATTGAGCAACTGTCTATGATTTACTTACACATATTAGGGTAGGATTTATGTAGCTCTTGTGAATTATCTTTCTCAGTTGAAGTCTAGTATTTGCTCATTGCCTGCTTGCACGTTTTTCCTGGTCACAGGTTCGCCAGCTCGCTACCCGTCTCCGTGTGACTACCAGTTTGGAGTCATCCCCCGAGCCACCGCCAACGTCCGAGAGAGGAAGCGAATGATGAGTATCAACGGTGCCTTCGAAGAGCTTCGGTTGCACGTTCCTACTTTTCCTTTCGAGAAACGACTGTCCAAGATCGACACCTTGCGTTTAGCGATTGCCTACATCGCTCTGCTGAGGGACATCCTCATGTCTGGCCAGGATCCTTTGGCGTTTGTTGAGGCCAGCTTGAGGGGCAGTGAAGACAATAATTCAGAGTGGAATACTAGTGGTGAGTGGTCACTCTGTCCTCCCCAGGAAAATATGTTAACTATAAATATATCTATGCACGATTTAATGCTGCTGGCAGATAAATTCACAACCGTCTTTCGTATGAGAATGGAGTTGGAGACAGTTATACAGCAGCTTTCCGCTGGTTTGAGAAACCAGCTGTCACATATGTCGTGATTGCCACCGACTAGTAAAGCATGTTAAGAAAGGAGACAGACATGTTCCGGTGCAGAGGGGCAAGCATTGTCTCAGAGGCCCCGGGTAGTTAGCATTCTTTGGATATTTCCTACAGGCTTTTGTAGCTGGAACACTCGAGGTACACTTGCTTCTTTAACGATGTTTACCACCATTCACGGGCGCCAAAACTTGAAGTTGCCCCATCCATTTTTCCCCTCAAGGGGGCTAATTATCTCTATAAGTATGTAAAGACGTTCTATTTGTAACTGTTTGTTTTACGTTTCAATTCCAATTATGTTATTATATTTGTTCGTAATTCATCATATAATGATTATTATTATTGTTATCCTCATCATTATAATTAATATTATTGTGCACTCAGACAAGGACTAAGTGATTTGATGTCCTCCCCTGGCCAATTACCCCACCCCTTCCACTTCGTGGCAGCGCCAGTTGAAGACCCTTGGCAAGAATCTGGTATCTATACAGAGCTAGTTGCGCGACAGACACAGCAGGTCCTGACCGGCGTAGGGTTGCAGCTGACATCGGACTGGTGTAGTCTCAGGGCGCCCCATTCATAACTTCTCTGGAGGGTGAATGGGGGTCTCTGGGGTGTGTCTTGTGGATCTGCTTTCCATACAAAGAGAGATTGTTTAATTTCACGATTGTCTGCTAAACCTTGCTCCTGGAGGCGACCAACCGATCCATCTATCGATATGCAGTTACTGCCGTTCAGGTGTGCATTGTTCAGCGCTTTCATAGTGCGATAGAGTGGCCGGTTCTTTAGCTGCCATCCTTTCCCAGTCAATTCTAAAAATAAACATTATCTGGTACTCCATTAAAAGTACAGTCGGCAGGGTATAGCCGCTACAGGCACAAAGACCACTTTGACGCTGATTTTCAACACCTCAAAAAAAAAAAAAAAAAAAAAAAAAAAAAAATATATATATTAAATTACTTTTGCTCCCAGATCGACCCAGCCTATAATGGGTACCAGCTCAAGTTCTGAGAAGTAAAGGTGGCCCACCTGGTGTTGACCACAAAACCGATCGAGTTCCGATTGGTGTAAACAAAACTATAGGTTCAACACTGTATGTCGAGTAGGGTTGCACGGCACAGAAAAAAAGATATGCCAGTTATGTCCTAATGAGTACTTTGACCATGGAGACAGTGATTTTACTGCTGCATGGGCGGACGGTGCACTAATGGGTCGGGCCGATGTGCTAGGATGTTGATACGGACAAGTATCAATCATAGACAGACATACATGTTTCCCATAAACCCTTGATAGTTTTAGTGTATCTCATGTTTCCCACAATCCTTTGATAGTTTTAGTGTATCTCATGTTTCCCACAATCCTTTGATAGTTTTAGTGTATCTCATGTTTCCCACAATCCTTTGATAGTTTTAGTCTATCTCATCTATTCTCAGAATGATCACACTGGTGCCCAGCTTGAGCTCTCATTAACTCTCAGCCAAAGTTTGGCTTAACTCATCTAGTCTCCTTCTTTCAGGATGTTTAGCCAAAGATCGGCGTGGCATCACTTACATTCAGCCACACATCTCTTCAAATCTCCCGTGTTTTCGCGTTACTGTCCTCTCGCTCGTGTCGGTAATATTTTCTTTTGGTTAGTCAAGGATATGAGATTTCATACAATGTCCGACAATTAAGTAATGAGACTAATTTCATAAAAATTAAAATAATCAACAGTTGAAGATATAACCTGTATTTTATTCAGAGTAAGCCCCGTGTGCATTGATACAGCAAGAGGCACGATCTAACAAACAATGGAACGACCTTCTGTCGTTATGGGCTCTAAAGTCAATGTTACGGCCCTTTGGATGTCATCAATATCGTTAAAGAAGCGTCCTTTCAGTCGTAACTTTAATTTTGGGAATAGAAAATAATCACAGGGAGACAGATCCGGGGAATAGGTTGGAAGGCTGAGAACACAAACTTGTTTTGGGGCTAAAAAATGCTTGTTTTTATGGTGGCTCTTCGGTTTTTAATCATCAGACAACGAATGCGGTACAAACCGGCAAGCAACTTTTTTTTTTGGCCAAAATCTTGCTATAAAATGTTATGAATGGACTGTCTATTAACACTAGATTCATCTGCCATCATCCTCACAGTAAAACAATGATCTTCTTGTATCCGTTCTCCGCCTTTTGCAATGAGTTCATCTTTATCATCATGTAGCAGGTCCTTTGCAGAACGTCACTCTCATCACAGTCTGCGTGAAAGAAACTCGGTCTCTAGCCAGCTCTCCCGCCTCATGCACTTTCACACTCAAGGAATCACTTATATCCTGTGCCCATCCTGGTACAATGCCCTCTGCTATAATTTGTTCCAATCCGTCGTAGTGCTTGATATAACCAAAATATTTCAGCTTCCGAGACAGGATGCTGTTTATTGGCCAATATTCCTATTTGTTCAGATCTTTCAAGATGTCAGCGTTTCTCCTCTTTTCGTCCAAGATATTCTCATAATCTTTCTATAGGATTTCAGCTCAAAACCCCCTATTCTCTTTCTTAAGGACTGAGAGATAGTCCATGCCTCACATCCGTATGTTGCTACAGGGAAGATGCATGCTCTCAAAATTCTAATTTTGATCTCCTTGCTGGTGCTTAACCATAGACTTTCAAGGCTGTTTAATCTTTGCATTGCTATGGCCATCCTCCTTTTAATTTCTGTCCAACAGTCTCCATTGCTATGTATTATAGAGCCTAGATATTCAAAGTTTGTGACATTTGCAATTATTTACCATTTATTGTTATTATTGGGTGACAGCCAGTTTTATATGTGGATATTGTTATTGTTTTCTTTAATTAAATTCAGGAACAGATTTTGATCTTCACTGTGCTTTTGGACAGACAATGTTAAATTTTCTATTCCCTTTACGCTGTTCGAAAGGAGGACTGTGTCATCTGCGTAGCGAATTTCCGGAATAGGGTTGCCAACAATTTTGAGCCGATCATAACTGTCAAGTCTGGTCATTTTTGACATTTCTTAGGCTGTTTAATCTTTGCATTGCTATGGCCATCCTCCTTTTAATCGTCATTACGAACATAAATTTGGCGTCCAAGTCTAGGTGCATTAGTAATCATTTCCGCACCACTTTTGAATGGTGAATATCACCTGGAATTTTGTACACGAAATTAACAATTATCCCTATAAACTTGTTGCATCAATTCAACTATTTCAATGGCGCTTTTACTGAGTTTTAAAATGAATTTAATATTTGCAAAATATCAACAAAATGGCGGCTTGTTTGTTGTCTGCTTATCGAGTGGCGATAAAATGTTGCCAGATCATAGATGGAAGTTGTCTCTTTAGATTCCATGCTTTGCTTCATAGATGGCATTTTTGGTGGAGGGGCATTTTTAAGCTTCATCAGAAATTGTTAATATGAGTCGTCACTCACATATATCTACGGTAGATAGTCCGTGTGGATTCCGGAGACCAGTTTGAGGAAACAAGATTAGACTTCTGCTCCCTAACACTAATTAAGGGTTTGTTAAATTCGAATATGTTGAGTCGAAAGGCACAGTTATCGCAGGCTAGCTGTAAACAACAATACAACATCACAACCGTCCTTTTAACCCTTTGGGGACGACTGGGCCGATTTTTATGAACAAAATAATATATATATAGTTTTGTTTATGTTAGCTAATTAAACTTTTTTTTTTTTTATATTTATATATTTTTGTGTCTATAAACTAATAGAATCCCATCCGAAGGCTTCGTCTTCTTGTCACTGAAACTGCGAAAAAAGACTCCGTCTCCAGAGGGTTAGGGGTGACGCAGAAGCAGAAGACATTGTTTTTGTTTGTTTTCGGAAATCAAAAATGTATCGTGTAACTTTATTATCGCATGCTTGATTATTGTTCGTTTACAGATCTGATGTCCAGACTGTCCTGGGTTCGCTGGGAGAATCTCGGATCACGCAGATTTGGTTCTTTCTCAACAACAGCTCAAGGACAGATGCCCGCACCATCGATGGGAGAGTGAATTCTGAGAGCCAGTCACCACAAAGATTTGTTGATCTTCCAAATGGCTATGGCTACTGGGCAACACAAGAAGCGCGTTTACAAAGATTTTTGAATAACATTCAACCGTGAGACAACTCAAAACATTGTACAACAAATATTGTAAAGAAGAAATGTGAGACTCAGCGATTGTTTCATGTTGCACAATTTAATTCTCAACGCCGGGAAAGCCACACACACCTGTAGTATATCCACTCCACAATATCTACTTGTAAACTTGTAGTTTGATTTATATTCAACAACACAATACAGTTAAATATACTTCAAAGAAGGCTATGTGCACAACACTTGAGGTAACCAAAAGATGGCTGTAACACACTACTAGACAGTCTCCGTGCTATAATGTCAGGTGATGAGATGTGAGGCCTTTCTGCTAAAGCCGGCCGTGGAAAAGCTAACTTGAACAACAAATGCACGCAGAAGTCGGAGAAGAAGATTTATAACTTTTTTTTTTCTCCAAAGTTTAACATTAGTTCACACTAGTAAAAACAAATTTTTGACATACATTATTCAAATTTCACAACAAATATTTACCCCGAAGTTCTTTCGATTTCCGGGAAAAAAACCCACTAAATTTTGGTTTCAGTATGCTTCTCCAGAGATGGTCATGTTTAAGTGAAGGCCACAGTGTAGCAGCTGTGACGTACATACATTGCAGTCTATGAAGCGTCTATTCTACATATGTAGCACCTTTTGTATATACTTCGTAATCTATGTAGCGTCTATTCTATCTGTGTATCGTCTGTTGTATATACTTTGTAATCAATGTAGCGTCAATTCTATCTATGTACTATATACTTTGTCATTTATATGTAGCGTCTATTCTACTATATACTTTGTAATACTTTGTATGTATGTGATTTTGTATGTATTTTTGTATGTACGTAGGTATGTATGTGTGTATGTATGTGTGTGCATGTTCGTGTGTATGTGGATGTATGTGTGTACTGGGTGCCTATGTGTTTGTGTGTAAGTGAGTGATTGGGCTTGTGTGTGTATGTGGGTGTGTGTGTTCGCGCGTGAGCGTGCGCACATATTTTACCACCCATGCTTTTTTTTTAAATTTCATTTCCATAATATGCTATTCATTACATGAATATGACATGCTTTATTGATGAAATACAACTGCTGTGTGAAAGATGGAAGTTTGGAAGGGCTCAATGTAAAACAGGCCTGTGTGCCTAATTTGTAACCCTTTGAAAATAAAGTTCGTTCGTTCGTTCCTAATCTGTGTGGTGTTTAATCCACTATATACTTTGTATTCTATATGTAGCGATATTCTACTATATACTTTGTCATCTGTATGTAGTGTCTATTCTACTATATACTTTGTTATCTATATGGAGCGTCTATTTTACTATATACGTTGTCATCTATGTGTAGCGTCTATTCTACTATATACTTTGTAATCTATGTGTAGCGTCTATTTTACTATATACTTTGTAATCTATGTGTAGCGTCTATTCTACTATATACTTTGTTATCTATATGGAGCGTCTATTTTACTATATACGTTGTCATCTATGTGTAGCGTCTATTCTACTATATACTTTGTAATTTACGTAGCTAGCTTGCCTCTGTTGGTAGTAAACTGCCGCCCCCCACCCCCCTTTCCCCCCGTCGTGTAGGTCGTTTGTTTCTTTTCAAGATTATTTTAAGCAATCTTTTAGTGAGATTTTTTCGTATTACGCTCTGCGTTTTTCCAATGTCGTATTTTGAATACTAGCCCTAAATAAATAGTCGCTACAGACTCCTGCATCTGTCTCGTGAGCTTACTGCGCTCTGCCGGACCAGTCCTGAGAACTGGCGGTGAACAAGATAAATAGCTTAGACGTCTGACTATCGGTCAGTTGTTGGGTTTGCATTTGCATCAAGGTGGGCTCCCATGTGTACCCTTCATAACAAGCATACAGGAAATGTCCTAGTAAGTAAAGGCGGTCGGCTTGATGTCGACTGCATGACTCGTGCAGCAGACACTGGTCTAAACAATTATATTGTACATTAGCACAGTGGCCTGTACGTGACCTGTACGTGGCCTGTACGTGACCTGTACGTGGCCTGTACGTGGCCTGTACGTGGCCTGTACGTGGCCTGGAGGGACCAGACTATTTTTTTTTTTAAAGAACCTTGACTTCGAGGTCGACCCAGTCTCAAATGGGTACCAGGTAAAGTTCTGGGAACTAAAGGCCAGCGTAATGTTGGCCATATTACCCACCAAGTACCGGTCGGTCTATAAAATATAGAGCTAGCCTTATATGCCCAATACAACTGAAAGCTTTGGAAAAGGTCTTTTTCGTTTAACCACATGCCAGATGAACCAGTGGCATTCTAAAGGACCTTCGCCATCAATAAGATCATCGTCCTAAAGTGTTTTGCTAGCCAACTCATGTTTTCCACGTCTTACGATCTCCAGCACCATGTATCCATTCATGTGCTGACGATCTCCAGCACCGTGTATCCATTCATGTGCTGACGATCTCTAGCACCATGTATCCATTCATGTGCTGACGATCTCCAGCACCATGTATCCATTCATGTGCTGACGAGAAAACGTCAAGAATCTATTCTCATTGATGAAATAGGTCTCTATTTGCATAAATATTTCCAGATGCCAAAACATTTTCGTTTTTCTAATGAAAAAAAATGAGGACTTCCTCTTTTTGGTGTTAATGATGTTGCCGTTCTGTATTGGATTTCTCCAGAGTTTTAGATTACTTATTTTGACTGTTCATTGTTAGGTAAAACCATATTTAATAGCTTATGATATACACGTGTGTGGTTTCCAGCTGGTGCAAGGGAGTTTGTGAACTGTGGCGAGAGCCTAGATTTTTGAAGAATGGCTGAATACAAAAGGGCAACTAGAAGTCTCAGGGAATATACACACAAAAGTGGTGATTCTGCAATTATGTTAAAACCAGTCGCGCAGAAAGAGCAACATCAAACTGAAAATGATTGTGCCTCCCGTTTTTTTAATCACATAGAGGCGCGAGAACTGGCGACAGAACGAGTTTCTTTCGCGCAGACTGTGATGTGAGCGACGTTCTGCAAAGGAGCTGCTACATGATGATGATGACTGAACAGTCGCCTGTACAATGTGTAGAAGCGGTCAGAATTTTAATGGGCAGATAATCCTGTGTTGAACAAACAAAAGGACCAAGAGGTTAATCAAAGACAACATATTCTTCTTCTTCGCTTCCACCTTGTACCTCATCGAAGTGTCGGGGGGGGGGGGGGGGATTTAATGTTCATTGATGAGCTCTGTCAAGAGCACTACTAAGACTGATGTTCATTTCTGTAAGGCAGAAATGCCATCACTCCATCTTTTCCGAGGTCTTCTACTCGCTCTATACCCGTTGTAACGTTTTAGTGTGGCTCGCTGTGGCGGATAGTACCAGTGCATTCTTGTCAGGTGTCCAAACCACTTTATTTATTGTTCTTTGATGACCTGTAAGACTGGCTTTATTCCTAGCATTCGTCTGATTTCATGATTTCGTATTCTGTCTTTCCTTGAAACTCCTGCAGCTCTTCTAAGGCATTCCATCTCTGTTGTCACAATTTTACGTTTATTGGAGGATGTAAGTGTCCACGTTTGGCATTGATAGCATAGTGTTGGCCAAAAAATAGTTATGATAAGATTTGCTGTAGTACTCCGAGGTATCACCTTGGCTCCCAGGTAGACCCAGCCTTGAGTGGGTACCGGGTGCAATCCCGGGAAGTAGAGGCGGCCGGCGTGATGCTGACCACATCACCCATCTTGTGCCGTTGGTCTATAAAAATATAGGTCTAGCCCTATATGCCCTATACGCCTAAAGGCGTGGAAAGGATCCTTTACTTTACTTTACTTACTCCGAGGTATCTGCTTGTGTGTCAACAGGGGAGATAGTTGACCCATTACTTGATTAGCTTTGGCACATCTGGAGTTAATTTCTCTGTCCATTTTTCCGTCTGATGAAAAAATTGCTCCCAAATACCTCTGTTTGTCTCAGGGTGTTTTTTTTTTTAATTTAATTTCTTTAATTGTCTTTATGTCTTCCTATCATCATTGTCTCTGTCTTCGTAGTGTTTATTTTCATATTATATTCCTCCCCTTTGTTACTAATTTGATTTAGATGGTTCTGTAGGCATTCCGTATTTTCTGCTATGAGTACCTGGTCGTCGGCGAAAAGTAATTCTGTAATATCTTCTTCATGATTAAAGTTCGTTTCACTACATATGGTATCCATGTATGTTATAAAAAGAAGCGGCGATAGTACACAGCCCTGACACACACCAGAGTTCACCTGCCTTCAATCTTATGCAGCATTTACTCCGTGTGTACAGGCTTTTGCAAATATTAATGAGATGATTGCTGATTCCTTTTTTCCCCATACATTCCCACAACACATTAATGTGTGATTTGTGTACGGTAGTTTAAAAAATATGTATGTGTGTTTTGCTGTAGATTCTGTCTTGTCTTGTCTTGTCCACAATTGCCTCACAGCGTAGTGGGGAGTCGCAGTTTTCTATCCTGGGCCAGGTGTGTTGCACGTGTTGTTGTTAGTCCGTGTTGCCTCAGGATCTCTGATACATTGTCTATCCATCGTACTCCCGGTCTGCCTCTTGCTCTAGGGCAGTAGTGCTGTTCTTTGTATGCTCGTAGAGGCAGTTGGTCGGTTTGCATTCGCATCAAGTGGCCAAACCACTCTATTTGTTGCTTCTTTATGTATTACAGGCATGGTGTGGTTCCTACAATTGATATAATGTTCTCGTTTCGAACTCTGTCTCTCCTTGTGACATTGGCAGCCTTACGTAAGCATCTCATTTCGCACGTCGTGATCTTTTTCTCCTGTGCTCTTGTTAGGGACCAGGTTTGGCATTGGTAGCAGAGGGTTGGTATAAACATGCAATTTATCAGTTGTCGTTTTAGTGCCATAGTGATGCTTGGGTGTTTTAGCAGTGGGGAGAGTTGGTAAGTTACTGCGT